TATCAAAGTGCGTGCCTTCACCTTGATCCGGTTTGATACACTGCGGCCAACCTATCAGAACGCGATATCTCTCAGATGGGGATTTATATTTTCACTAAGTTTCTTGATATAACTGTTTAATTATAAAGTTGAATAAAATTATGCCTTTTTAGCAGTACATGAAATAGAAGTTCACTATGTATGGGTAAGATTTTAAGTCCATCATGACTGTAGTTGGAACATATTAAGAATTTCCAACATGTCCAAGTCATATGACGTGCTATCGATTTCGGTAGGTTTATAATATAACTTTACAGGTTCAAAAATATCAAAGAAAATGCTGTGCATCTTGATTTGTTGATATAATTAAATCAATAACTCAAGTGAATGTCCGTGATCACTGGAATTATCTAGTTGTCTGGTCTGGACACGAAGCTCACTCGCGGCGGATACGAGAAGATATAGAACCTTATGCAAGTTCTACTTTTATATGAAGAACAATGTATGTAATAAGAAAAAAAAACATTTTGACTGAAATACACTGCAAGTTTCCACAGCCTTGTGAGGTGAAGGCTGATATGTATAAACGATAAAAGTTGCAGGGTAGTCAGGTGCCTTTTCCATTGTATTTGAAGCCTCCATAAAAAAAAAAAAAAAAAAAAAAAAAAAAAAAAAAAAAAAAAACAGCAAATGTTTTTCTATTGACTTTTATATGAAATAAAGGATAACTTTTCCTTTTCTCAAAACTTGGTATGTCAGTACAAACTTAGATGCTAAAAAAAAGGCCTTAGTTTTGCTTTTAAATGTAGATTCAGTAGTTGGTGTCTGTGTAGGTGTTTGTAAGTATGCATAAATGTAGGTTTAAAGTGAAAGATGGATATAGATTTTGTAAAACAGCTTCACTATAATATTTTTCTGTATGCAATAGCTAATGGAGTTGGATGATGTAAAGAATATTACTTACTTTTTGCATGTGTTGTAATTTCTTCTGTGGATGTTGTGCCTACTGATTTTACTAATTCTGTTGATTCTCTTGTAGATGTTAATTCTGTTGTTGATGGTGATTCTGTTATTAATGTTAACTCAGTTGTAGATGTTGATTCTGTTAGAGATGTTGATACTGTTGACTCTGTCATAAATATCGATTCTGTTGTAGATGTTGATTCGGTTATAGATGGTGATTTGGTTATAGATGTTGATTCTGCCGTAGATGTTGATTCTTTTATAGATGATGATTCTGATATAGATGTTGACTCTGTTGCAGATGTTGATTCTGTCGTAGATGTTGATTCTTTTATAGATGAGGATTCTGATATAGATGTTGACTCTGTTGCAGATGTTGATTCTTTTATAGATGATGATTCTGATATAGATGTTGACTCTGTTGCAGATGTTGATTCTGTCGTAGATGTTGATTCTTTTATAGATGAGGATTCTGATATAGATGTTGACTTGGTTGCAGATATTGATTCTGTTGTAATTGTTGATACTGTTATAGATGGTGATTCGGTTATAGATGTTGATTCTGGCGTAGAGGTTGATTCTTTTATAAATGGTGATTTTGTTATAAATGTTGACTCTGTAGCAGATGTTGATTCTGCTATAGATGTTAATTCTGTTGCAGGTGTTGATCCTGGTATAAATGTTATTTCTGTCGCAGATGATGATTCTGTTCTAGATGGTGATTCTGTTGTAAATGTTGATTCTGTTGCAGATGATAATTCTGTTATAGAAGTTGACTCTGCTATAGATGTTGATCCTGTTCTAGATATTGATTCTTTTGTTGTGGTTGATTCTGTCGTATATGATAATTCTGGTTTAGATTTTGATTCTGTTGTAGGTGTTGATTCTATTGATGTTAATTCTGTTGTAAATGTTGATTCTGTTATAGATATTGACTCTGTTGTAGATGTTGATTCTGGTGTAGATGTTAATTGTTTTCTAGATGGTGGTTCTGCTGTAGTTGTTAATACCATTGATGTTAATTCTGTTGCAGATGTTGATTCTGCTGTAGATGTTGATTCTGGTGTAGATGTTGATTTTGTTGCAGATGTAGATGCTGTTGTAGATGTTGATACAAGTGGTAATTCTTTTGTAGGTGTTGATTCTGTTGATGTTAATTCTATTGTATATGTTGATTCTGTTGTAGATGTGGATTCTGTTGTAAATGATTCTGTTGTAGATAGTGATTCAGCTGTAGATGGAGATTCTGTTGTAGAATGCGATTCTGTTGGTGATTGTGATTTTGTTATAGATGATGATTCCGTTATAGATGTTGATTCGGTTATAGATGGTGATTCTGTTCTAGACTGTAATTTTGTTGTAGATGGCGATTCTGTTGCAAATGTTGATTTTGTTGTAGATGGTGATTTTGCTGTAGATATTGATTCTGTTACCCACTTTGTTATAGCTGTTTTTTCTGCCGAGCTTGACAGTTCAAGTGAAGCTGTCGTTGAAGTATTGTTTTCTGTCGACGTTCCCTCTGATTGAGTTCTGTGCTCAGTGCTGCTTGTAGATTTGC